CAGTCTTCTGTCTGTGAAAATAGAGATTTTTCTAAGACTAAGGTGTGTTAGGTGGTATTATTAAGAATCTCAGGATAGACAGTTGCTCATAATATCCAATCAAGTATTAGTAAGATATGCTAATGATATTGCAGTGCATGTTACATTCCTTATATTTTGAGAGACAGTTAACAAAAGGATGGCTAGAAAATGCTTTTTTTCACAACAAATAAGTGCAAAGAGCATTCAAGACATACTGAAATATCTCATATGAGATTATTATGACTATTGGTAGCTGCTCATTTTGGTAGGTTATAGAATTTGTATGTCTTTTTCTCTTTGGATTTTTCACTCAGTGGACTGTGATTATAGTCAGTTTTCCTTTTGTTCCTTCCCATTCAGAAACATGCATATTTATAAAATTCTTAATGTCTATAAAGAATGAATAAATAGCTGTCTATTTCAGGTGCCCCCAAAGAGCTGAATATTTATAGAATAAATAGCTTACTACCACCACCCCCAGCTCCTAGTGAGATTATATAATAAAACGAATGCTGAAAGCTATTTGGAATATTATTGTCTATAGTTTTAATCATTAATACATCCATGCAATATTTTAGGAGGCTTATTACTTTTTTTTTTTTTCTTATAAGGGAAAGGGCCTATGAAATGCCTTCTGCAAAGTTAATCCAAGGTGGAAGAAAATTAACTACAGCATCCTGGAAAAATATATGTTCCATGTATGCAAAGGCATTTATAGCCTGTTTTAGTCCTGATCAATAATATGTATCAAGTTGAGGGCAATAACATAATATTTTTTCATTGGCTCTGCAAATTTACACACTAGAGGTCTATGAAGAACTCACAGAATATTAATGTATATTTTCTACCAAAGAGGACTTCGCAGTAGTTAGTTCACAGGTGGAGATGATAGCAGTATTTGATTACAGTGAGTTCTCAAGGTCCACAAAGTAAAGAACTAGAATTAGGGCTGCCCAGAGTTCTGAAGTGCTCTATTGAAGTGATGTGGACACCTGAGACAAATCCAAAGGTCACGTGGCTTGGCAATTAGTTCAGTTATGGCTAGAAGGGTTATGTTCAGTATACTAAGTCTCTAAATGTGTCATAGATTGCCTTCTTATAGTCAGTTTGCCTTGCAATATGCCATGACGACCCCAGCTCTTGAGCAGGTATCAATCACTCTAACCTGGTTGAAAGCAGAGCCAGAGGAGAACCTGTGCCATTAGGTAATCTCCATTACCTAATAGGTTAGGATAGAAATAATATTCTACTTTTACATCATTTTGTTTTCTCTAAAAAGCCCATAAATATACTTCAAGAGCAAATTTCTGATTTGCACAGAGGCTTCTTTTCCATTGTGTGTCATCAAAGTTCATAGATTTAATCTCTTACTAATTTGAAGTTAAAGGGATTTTCTTTGGAGTGTATGTGGCACTGAAAATTAAGGAGGCCCTGGAATGAAGGATATGTGGTAGGCGATTCTACAAACGTAAAAACTACAGTGAAATAAAACACTAATATTAAAGAACAGCTCAGTGACCCTCTACTCCTGATCTGTAACATGCCGTGGTCAATATCTTTTTCTGTGTCAATGGGAGCTCATTAAATGTAAATTCTGCAGCCTAACTCAGCCATCCCATATTAGTGCTTGCCAAAGCTTGACATTTTTAATACATTAATAATATGTCTGTAATGTAATGGAAAACTATTAATCACAACTGGTTATGTGCCAGAAATTTAAGCTATAATTGGCTGCTTCTTGTCAAGAATGTCTGTCGTACAGGCCTGCAACTGCCTAATATTCAAGTATTCTGCCCTCCTCTGCGTTTTCCCCTGTCAGTTTTTAAAAATCCGATCAATAGTATAGTCCATAATCCTGTATAATGACCATCATTATAATTCTGGTATGCTTTAATGAGAATTCGTTATATTGGGATTGCCGTTGTGCCAGGAGATAGAAACAGGTCACATACATTTCCTTAGTGTCATGTACAAATGTATGATCACTCTTTCTTTTGTGGTTGTCGAAAGGCAGCCTATAGGTGAGGATAGAGTAACCAAGAAGAAATGAATTAGGGCAATACTATTTATCGGTTGAAAAAATAAAGGGGAACCATACACTTAAAAGCATGCGTTTAAATAATGTTAAAAAATTAATCCATGACACTGAATTCACACTGAAAGCAATCAATTCTAGGTCTTCAAAGTTTGAGTGCTCTTGATAAATACATTGCTGTGTTTTTGAAAAGAAGAATTACAGTTAATAATTTGCTTATTTGCCACTACTTTAGTTTTAGTGCCCATTCCCTCCTCTCCTTCAACAATGTTTGTTTCTTGTTCTTATAAAATAATAAGTTGAAAAAAGAATCAAGAAAAAGTACATTGGTATCCCTTTAAGACTTTTTTAGATTATTAATTGTCAAATTAGTGGATGTTCCTGAAAATGTGAACTTAAAATATCTAATGAATCTTTAAAAAGCAGAAGGCTGTAGTAGCCACAACACATGCTTCTCTGTGACATTTTTTTTTCTTCGTGACTTAAGATTTTGAAATGTGCTCAACACAGTATAGTCTTTACGTTACAAGGAAGAGGCAGATTCAAATCTGTAGTTTACACATGTTTAGACAAACTGCTAATTATTGCTTCATAGGAACTCAAATATTCAACACTTTTCCTAATAGAAAATATCACAAATTGCAGCTGTATGATAACATTTTATGAATTGAATATAATGAAAATTGCACTTGCATCCATAAAGCAATTATTATAAATTACTTTGCTATGGAAACACAATTCAACCATCTGTTGGCATTTCATAGTCTCTGTGGCTTAGTTCATTTTAAGATGGTGCATTATTTAAATATAGTAAATTTCCTTTATAAGATTGCTTGAAGATAGCGAACTGCCATATTTAAGCTATTTAATGTAAAGGGAAGGGTCTATAATGGGATTGTCCAAAGCTGTAGGCTTTTTTTTTTTTGCCCTTTATAAATTGTTTTTAAAATAGTTACTTATTTAGACTAGGAATATGAACCAACTAATTAAGCAAACACTCTTTTTAAAAATACTTGGATTACAAATACTAGTGTTTATTTAAATTTGGATCATGTTCTCTAAAGAGAAAAAGTTGCCAGTTAAATTCAACAATTGCTTGTACCCATAGTTACATAGGCTGCATTATCAGTTAACCAAAGGTACTTTAAAATAGTAATTTGATTTTCTCTTAGAATTAGTGCCATATTATTCTGCTTCATGGCCTGTTAACTCACCCTCGGCTATGTTTATACATGCATTTTAAATTGTGCGTTTTACCACAGAGCTTTTAGTTTTAAAGCAGCGTATAATATTCACCTTTGGAACAAATTCTTCTCTGTTACAGAAAGTAACTGCAAATGCAGATGTAATCACTATAAAAAGATGTAAGAACATAGAAAATTCTTATGAAAGGAAAATTTGCTTCTTTAGTTTTATTTTTGAATATTTTTTTCAGAGAACCAAGTTATCTTTATCACTAAATGCAACTAAGCAAAAAAATGCTAAATTCTTTCAGTATAATGAATAAACCCAAAGGAATGGGCTCATACCAACAATTCTAGTTTTCACTCCAGCTAACAGAAGCTAAGAAGTGTACAGGGCATTTGCAGATTTTCAGGCTTACTTTGCCAAGAGACAAAAGGCATACAAGTAGTTGTCATTTCTTTGTCATTGTTATAAAAGTGCTCATTTCCTCCATTGTTCTGTTGGAAGATTTTCTAGCACTACAATATATGAGAAATGTTTAAATCCAGCTGCTATCTCTCAGTTTTCTCAAGATGGAAATGGAATTTTTTGAAGCGAAACCTGTAACTCACCTGGAACACACACATCTGTCTTTGTTATGGAAGAGTTAAATCCTTCATGTCGAAATTCTCCCCAACATGACTGATTTCTGAGCTTTGCTCATTCTAGCAAGGCAGCTGAGTAAAGGTTATCCATATTACACCAATTTACCTTATATTGCATCTCACTTCCAAAATGTCAACATATCATACGTTTTGTAATGCATTGATTCTGGGACAATAACTCTTACTCTTGTTGTTTCTAAAAGGGTGTTGGTGCCAGAAGAAAAGAATGATTGATGGGAAAGAGACACCGGACTATAGACACTCATCCTTTCGCTTCAGATACTGATATCTCAAAGGGCCTGAGCATTCCTTGTGAGCAGTGAGCATTGAGGATCACTCAGGGTTATCGGATGTACAACGGGAAAGCCATCACTTTGCTGACGTATTATCTACTACTGGACATCTTCTACAAAATCCAAACTGGACCCGAGTCTAACAGATATGTTCTAGGACAAAGACAAAGCTGCAAGTTCCAATTATCGCCTAACACACAAGTATGTTAGGCTCCCACCAAAGTCCTCCGTATACCTAAACATGCGTGGTATCTTCATCCTTCACATTTGGTTCTGGAATCTGCTTTGAGAGCTCATCCTCTTTTTTCTTTTTTGTTTTAATATACAGACCTACCTAAATAATAAATATACATATATATACATATATATACACACACATATATATGTATGTTTGTATAAGTAAAATAGACACCAATCACAGATAAGCAAACTTTGCTGTTGTTCCCACGAAGACTGCAAAGAATTCAGAGATGTATTTGTCAAGATTCCTGTCGATCCATGCCCTGTGGGTTACAGTATCCTCAGTGATGCAGCCCTACCCTTTGGTGTGGGGACATTATGATGTGTGTAAGACTCAGATTTACACAGAAGAAGGGAAAGTTTGGGATTACATGGCCTGTCAGCCAGAATCCACAGACATGACAAAATATCTGAAAGTGAAACTGGATCCTCCGGATATTACCTGTGGAGACCCTCCCGAGACATTCTGTGCAATGGTGAGGTAACCCTTTTGAGTAGAATATTTGGTATAAATAGGTTCAAATCATAAATGCCGTACAAACACAGTGAGTGTAAAGACTCAATCCATGCATGGATGTACAACGGGAAAGCCATCACTTTGCTGACGTATTATCTACTACTGGACATCTTCTACAAAATCCAAACTGGACCCGAGTCTAACAGATATGTTCTAGGACAAAGACAAAGCTGCAAGTTCCAATTATCGCCTAACACACAAGTATGTTAGGCTCCCACCAAAGTCCTCCGTATACCTAAACATGCGTGGTATCTTCATCCTTCACATTTGGTTCTGGAATCTGCTTTGAGAGCTCATCCTCTTTTTTCTTTTTTGTTTTAATATACAGACCTACCTAAATAATAAATATACATATATATACATATATATACACACACATATATATGTATGTTTGTATAAGTAAAATAGACACCAATCACAGATAAGCAAACTTTGCTGTTGTTCCCACGAAGACTGCAAAGAATTCAGAGATGTATTTGTCAAGATTCCTGTCGATCCATGCCCTGTGGGTTACAGTATCCTCAGTGATGCAGCCCTACCCTTTGGTGTGGGGACATTATGATGTGTGTAAGACTCAGATTTACACAGAAGAAGGGAAAGTTTGGGATTACATGGCCTGTCAGCCAGAATCCACAGACATGACAAAATATCTGAAAGTGAAACTGGATCCTCCGGATATTACCTGTGGAGACCCTCCCGAGACATTCTGTGCAATGGTGAGGTAACCCTTTTGAGTAGAATATTTGGTATAAATAGGTTCAAATCATAAATGCCGTACAAACACAGTGAGTGTAAAGACTCAATCCATGCATGAGCTGAGTCTGCACGTGGCAGATTTGAGTTAACAGGCTAGCTTCGTTCTCAGTGGAGGTGTACATTACCTGGAATGACCAAACAATGTGATTGATACACTGGACCTTACCAGCTGCCTCTCTGCAAACCAAAAGTTTCACCAAGAGGCAGGTGCACTGTATGTATATTATTAAAGAAAACGTCCAATTGAAGGTTAAATTTCAGTTGGTGGTTAGGAAAATGATTAGGTCCCATATGTTATGCTAAGGATAAAATTCTTTAGCAAACCAATTTTGAAACTTCAAATGTTTCTTCACACCTGTGTGTAAGGCCAGTTAAAGTTCTCTAGGTCAAAGCTGGAGCAGATCTCATGGTTTCCTTCACCAGGAAGCTGCTGTGATTTGTAAATCTTTGTTGAGGAGACCAGTGAAAAGAAAAGCAGAGGAGACAGGACTTCTGAGAAGCTTTTCCAGAAGTGTCTTACTTGCCAATTCACAAAGCCTCTTATATTCAAGGGTCTCAGTTTTCTTTGGGTACTTAATGATGAATGTTGGAGGATTGTAAAGCAGAGACCCAAGGCGTACAAATTCAGATACTATCCTTTTGTTAACCAAAGTCATCAAATTCATGGTCCTCATGAGGTGCATGTCTTTCTGAGTGGAAAGTTAAAGATGTGAAAAGGTAACGCTGGAGTGACACATTTAATTTTCACTGAGGACGTCGTTGAAAACATACGGTATTAGTAAAGAAATTGGTGATTAAAATAGTGTAAACTAATGTGATAAAGAATTCAGACAGTGTGTTCATTTGGTTTGTTATTTTTTTTATTATAGATGGTCTTTATTTGATAACAAGAACTATGATTCCATTTTCCTCCACAGAACAGACATAATCACATGGCAGGTTTTAATAGTATTCTTACCTGGCTTTATTATCTTGAACCTGGCCTGGCATTTTCAGGATAGTGAAACTATTAATCAAAGTAGCATCTGTTCACAGTCCCCAGTGAGTTAAATTAGCATAAGATCATCTTAGACCTAGCACTATAGAAAAGATTTTGAAACAAGAAACAATTTTGAGCAATAAAGAGTGTTTTCACCTAGAAGCTAAGGGCTTGCCATTTTTCAGAAGTGCCTATGGGGACTAGTTTGAATTATAGTCTAAACCTGATTTTGTGGAGAGTGAGAAAAAGAGCTTGGCTATTAAGTGTCACTATGACTAAAGTGCCCTGAAAAACTAAATATTTCAAAGAGAGGACCCATCTCTCTGGGAAACAGGTATGTGCTTTGCAAAGAAGTTGCATTTTAGAAACCAGAGAATTCCAGCGAAGAAGTTTATTCTAACACATTATCAAAACTATAATAAATCTGTAAAACAGCAGGGACATTTTTGGGCTTTATATAAGGACTTTAATAATTTCTCATAAAAGGTCAAATTTAAGATCTCATTGCAAATCTGGGGTGAAATTGCTATTTGGGTGATAAGTTGTGTGATCTTCCAGTTTTTATAACAGAGGATGAGTTCTGGGCCAACTCCTCATATTATTATAACACTCTAGCTCTCTATATTGGCTTACATGACACTTATAACAATATACCTCTTCTGGAACTGTTTAATAATTTACAGGTCTAAGTAAAGTGGCGAATATCCATTTTCAAGGTACTGTTTCCACTTGTGTAGATCCTGTTGAGCTGTTCGAGGTGTGATTTGTCTGTGTGGCTTCCTCGATCTCAGCCTCTGGCCAGAGAATGCTTGCTCAGCACTGCTCCTGTCCATCATGTGGAAGGAAGAGTTTACTTGGTGTCTGCAGCTGGCTTCTTTCTCCCCTTGCCAGTAGAGTGGGAATTTACAGAACTACCTGCCTTTTAAAGGGACATGGTCTAAAGTCCTAAACCAAGCTGGTTCCTATTTACCCACTGGCTAAGAGCTATTAGAGACCCTTAGATAAGATAAGATAAGATAAGATAAGATAAGATAAGATAAGATAAGATAAAAAGTATAATGACATCTCTGCAGATAGACATGATTCTAGGGCTGCTGAATAATTAAGGCTTTCTCAAATGCAATAACATGTATGCTTTGTGTGTTCATCTGAAGCTTCACAGGGTAGTCTTTTAAAAGGCCGTATCTTAATGTGAGACAGAAATTCAAAATGCTTGGTGGATTTAAACTTGTCATTGAGCAGAATGGTTTTCTGAGAAAGTGTAAGGTGTGTGAGATGTTTTTCATCAAAACTTAATTTGTATTCCTTAATATGAATATGAGTGGCATAATATTTAATAATCTATCTTTTAAATGCACGCTTTAGGATACTTTGTAAGCCATTGGTAGTGGTCTGATATAGCAACACTTCCTCCTCCAGTTTGGATTTTCCATAAAACTCTTTAGCATAAGGGTTCCTGACACGAGTCTGTAAAACTGTCTCGGGATGCTGTCATATTAGACCTGTTTAGGTGCTCCTTAGCCCCGGGTCTAATGGGGATCCATAAAATCATTTGTGTTATGACTTACACGTTTTCCCCTCCTTGACACTTGCATCTATACCTGCTCCCTGAGAGTCATTATGGCCTATTACATCAGGGTAGCTGCCAGATAAGCACAGTCACTACTTAGCCCCTGTATGTAAATGTTTGCTGCAAAATGCTTTCAGTCATCATTTGTTCAGCTAGTGACACCCTCATTAGCTGTGGCTATAGCAATTCTGAACACTGAAGGAATATTTGGTCAGAAAAACACCTTATAATTTCCATAACTGATTTATTTCATATAAAGTTGAAGTTCATGGGCATTGCATTAAGAGTGTGTATTATTGCTTTTTGCGTTTGCTCCATCATTATATGCCAGTAACAATCCAGGAATGCTGCATTTATTTTAATATAGAGGGAAACTTCAGGAAAAAAGCATATGATTCCATGTGACAGTAGATCTCTGCTTGTTAACCTGGATGATATCCTTAGTAAATCTTCAAGTAATTTATAATTGTTACATAACAATTATACCAGCATTGATAAACCTTAGCTTTTGGGGGGAATTCTGCCTCTTCTGTTTATGCTAGCAGAATAGGATGGGGAGAAATAAACACATACACTCACACACACATGAATTGTGTATGTTGAACACCATACATTTTCTTTTTAATTTAATATATTCTTTTTAAGTTGATGGAGGCTAAGAAAGATCTGAGTTTTTGTTAAGTGAAAAGAATCTGAGTTTTTGTTAAGGATTGAGGAAGGTTGATCAGGGGTTTTTTGTTGCTGTTTTTTGTTTTTAGGCTGGGATAACAGATTTGTATAGATACTGTCCTTTCAGCCACATGAAAAGCTTCAGTAGCATAGCTTTGTTAGAAATCACAGATCATCTCATGACTACAATTTGCTTCAATTTGCATAAAGAGCACATAGGATGATCTGAACCTGTGTGTAAAGCTGAAGTGACAACACAGAGCTGTGACTTGTTCTTTGTGTTTAGACAAACTTAGCTGTCATATCTCCACACAACACCCTAGTGGCTTAAAAATGGCAAAATTATCTACAATTATCTCCAGCCTGCAGCTAATTTTCTGGATAAGTTAAACAGAAGCTTTGAAAAGAAGCCTGCAGACGGAAGAAGTCATGTGCATTTATACAATTTATGGCGCAGAACTGCTGATGATTGTAGAAATGTGAGCCCTTATGTGCTGCTATGGATTTCAGAGCCAATCAAAACTCAATTAGGAAACAAAGATTATTAAAAAGTCTTCTGTGCATGTAATTTTGGCATAATATTACGAGGTGGACATTAAATGTTTTCCTTGGAGACTTTCGGCATCATTAATGCAGCATGCCTTTAATTGTAAGTAGACTCATATTACTGAAAAAAATGGAGAGGAAATAAAGTACTCTAAGGTGTAGTTAGCAATACCCTCATTATGTTTACTGAAATGAGTAAAAGAAATGGTACCATTTTTCTAAATAAAATGTCAGAATTTGAAATGAAAATGGATTTCCTTTAGGAAATTTACTAATGTATGCCTGTGCTCTTGATAGGCATTAATTCAAGTACTGTAACAGGTCTGTTAACGATCATTCCATATTGTGCTATTTCAAGATAGACTCCTATTAAGAATTAAAAAAAAAACTTTAATTATTGTAAGCATGGTGGATAGACTATATTTCATTATGTTCGAATGGGATTTGCAGAAGTGGTAAAAAGCCTTTGTGTTTCAGGATTTCAGAGGTTCCCAGTGGGATGAATGAGTGGTAGCGCATAGTCTCAGGGCTGTCCATAACTTAAACTTCTGACATTGGCTCAGGTTGCCATCTGGTGGCTATCAGGTGGCCTTTGAGAAATTAATTTGATAAGCTCAGTTACATTTTCAATGGCAAGGGATTAATATCAATTTTCTAAAAACTGAAAATGACATTGACTTATATAATAATCGAATAATCTTAAAAATACACTCTGTTCACATGAAACATGATTCAATAAATGAATGAAGTTTTAATAACAGTGACATCTTTCATTTGAACTGATTTATTCCTTAATTACGCCAGAATGAAATTTAAAAAAACCTTCAGTTCTTTCATTATTAACATTTCATTGTTATTAGTTCATTATTTAGACTTATTTCTTAGAAAAGTTTAATTCATATTTGTAGTGAATTAATTCCCATGGAGATCAATCTTTCTGATATGTCAATATATCAAGTATTTCATTGTTAGGGAACTAACAAGATACTGTCTGTTGCATCAAGTCTAAAGAACTGTATCTGATTTTCAAATAGAGGTGCATACAGTTTTGCTACCTGCTACTTTCTATCAAGACCCTGTGCATCTCCAGGGCACTTCAGGCTTGCAATCTGATTGGAGGAAATCTAGTGGATTAGGCAGAGGCTGCATTGGCATAGTATGGGTGGTTTATGGGGAAAGCCTTGGGAGGGAACTGA